TTGAAAGGCTTATTTATAAGAGCCCTAGGAGGCTTAAGACGGTCGTAAAAGGCCTAAACCAAGGGCAAAAAACACTAATAGGGCTCTGAGGCTCAGAAAAGCTGTGAAAGAGGCCTTAGTCTAAAAAAAAGCTGTGATGCGGACCGATAGACCAAAGGAGAAAAGTAAGGATAGTAAGGAAAAAATGGGAAAAATAAGAGTGAGAAAAAGTTGTAACAGGGATCGAGTCTATTCCCCCACAAAATTCATCCAGATTGTACTCACTTACTTTAGGAACAGATAAGCATATGAAAGAACGGCTCAACGCTTATAATTAAATATAATTAATCAAATATATAATTAATTATATAATTAAATATAATATAAAATATATTCTAATGTAATTTAAAAGCGGATCAAAACAAACTTTAAAAAAAATCCCACCAACATTTAAAAGACCAGAATTTAAAGGACCAGTACAAAAAGTTGGACCAGTACAAAATGTTGGACGAACGTCAAAGCGCCGGCTGCTAGTTGATAGAACTTCTTGCTGTTCATCTATTATTTGTTTACTCGTTTGTTTATTGTTTGTTTTTTTGTTTGTTTACTTCATTGATTGATGGTCTTCTGTGTCGCCTGAGTAGATGGCAACACAGAGGAGTGCAGAGGTTGAACAGAGCGCGTTTTTCGTCGTAGGCGACTTGTTCGGCCCGCCGATGTTCTCCCCTCTGTATTCCCTAAAATCTAGCTGTTTGTTTGTCTATTTGTTTGTTTGTTTATCGTCTACATGGCTTGTCTCAATTTGTGAAGCGGATCCCAGCACTTGTAATCGATTCAGTTTCTCGCATTTCTCCTCCACAAAGTTCTCCAGACATTTAACGTGTAGCCTCGACTGCTGCTTGACAACTTCGTCTTCTTTCATGAATCACGTAGAATACTGGCCGAGCCGATTCTCTTTGAAATCCTGAGCTGGCTGAACTAAAGCGTTCCTCAAGGGCTCATGGATAGAATCGAACCAGTCTCTCTTGTTTTGTATAGACCGCATCACTAACCGCTGCACTATCCCGTTCTGAGCAGGTTACTATACCATGAGACAGTGTGATAGGTTACTATACCATGAGACAGGATGCAGGTAGCCGACCAAAGGCTCCTTGAGGCATTCGTTGATTGCTCGCTAGAGAATAAAATATAAATGAAAGTGTATCGTGCTCTATAAGTCAGCCCTCTTTGATAGACCACTGACATGCGTGGCTCAATTAATGATTATCAGGCATATTGAAATTTCAGGCATCTCTTTTCTGTCTTTTCCCTCTTCTTCTGTCGAACTCAGTTTTGGAATTTCCACTCTGTTGAGGCTGAACTTCAGCTCTTTCGACTTATTCCACGATTGTAAATGATTTTCCTCTGGTTGTTAAGACGTGGTTATTTTGATTATTTTGTAATTTCATGCCTATTTGTAATTCTATTTGATCACTAATAGTCGTTTTCAGTGATTATTTAGACATATCTATGGTTACTTTTGAGAGCTGACTTGACTACTGAGTCACGCCAATTCATAACTCATTTACTGTTGATCGTATCGACATTATCGATTTTTCTGGATGTTTTCCCGGATCGATAGCGAATCGCTTGCGTTAATTGAAAGTGATTTTTTAGGCGGGAAAGATGGCCACTCATAAGATGAATATGTTTGAGAAGATCGCCAACATGCTGGGCTGTTTGTATCGCCACCAGGCGGCACAGTTTCCACGCCGTTGGGAAATTCTTAAGGTAGTTTCCTTATGCAATATCTCAGAGGCTTTTTACTAAATTTTTTATGTTTTAAGGCTGTTGGGAAGCACGAACTCGCTCCTCCCAAGACCACTGATTGGCCAGCTATCAAAGCTGACTGGAAGAAAGTGTCGGATTTCATTCTAACAAGAAAGTACAAGGAGCTCACCGTCAGGGTAAGGCGTCTAATGTGTTATTTTTTTTCATTATTTCTAGGTTTTATCTCGATTTTAGTTCTTTTTGATGAAGAAGTAACGAGAGAATTCTACGTGGTTTTCTTCTAAGAGCGACATTTTTGAGTCTTCACCTAGTTATCTCTAAATACGCAGCATTATCTGACTGTACGACTACACTTTTCATCTAGGAATTCCTCGTCTATACAGCGGTTTCGATGGAAATAGTGTTTTGGTTTTTCATCGGAGAAATGATAGGTCGTCGACACATCGCGGGTTACTTGGTCGGTTTGTCGTACTTCAGAAGGAAAGCGCTGTTTTCTTCTCAGATTCTAGTCAATTACCTCTCTTGTGATTTCAGGTACCGGCAAATTATGTGTCGAAGGAAACACGTAAAAAGTCAAAGCTCTCAAAGCCCAAGAAGCCGAGGAAAGCCTCCATTGATTTATGATCTAGAAGAGTAATTGACATTTACATAGGTGCCCTCAGATTTAATAGAAATTGTTCGAACGTTTTCGATAAGAAAGCTTTTCCTTGGAGTGGTATTTCTTTACACATTTCAAGGAACCAATCTGAATGTCGTAAGTGGTACGCAAATTATTCGACCCCAGGCTGAAGTTGAACCCGCGTTTCACTCACACCGTGGGCTTGTGCTACCTCGACGTCACCCGTGGGCTCCGCTGTTTCTGCTCTTAATATAACTGTGCTCATTGCCGATATGAGCTTACCGGACCAAACTCGTCAAAGGTTTGTTGCTGGCAGCTACGATAGGTTATATCAAAGGAAGAGTGGTAGGGAAGCGTTGGCTTCAGTGATGTGGAGGTAACACGGACTCCCCATTTACCGCTAAACGAATAGTCAAAGCAACAGGACGATCCAAAAACCGCCCTCAGCCTTGAAACATAATGAAAATATTGTCACGGAAATTATGATAAAGTTAGTTTTGGTAAGAGTAAAATGTTGATCACCGCAGATTAGCAGTTTGTTCAGGCCAAATATTATCAATTCATTGTCCACATATTTATAATTTTTACCAAATTTTAGAAGCCTTATTGAAATTGATTGTTAAAGAGTTGATTTTAAACAACCTCTTCAAGAAAAAACTATTAATAATTAATCTCTTCCCTTAGTAATAAAAAAAACAAAAACAGTTTTAGGAATTATCCGAGAAAAAATACAACTCATTATAAAAATAAAAAAGTCAACAATTGACCTCATAAAATATTGAGAGCCGGTATGTGTAAAACGCGGGTTTAACTCCCGCGCTGGGTTGAGTGTTTTGCACGCCATTTAGTACTCTTAGATCTATGTTCATAACAACATAGCACTGGTAAGAGGCAGTGGAAGTAAAGAGTTCATGTAAATTATACGTATCAAAGTACACATTCTAAATGAGAAAATCAGTCGGTTGTTGCGTGAACAAAGTATTAGCACTCTGAGGACCAAATGGTGAGTTTTGTGCCAACTTATGCGACCCCAAATCTCACAGCTACAGCAATGGCGGCGCCGCGTCTCGTGGGAAATCAGGCGTAGGCAGTCACACATGCGTGCGCTTGCATGCAGATACCGCCTGCCTATGACTGCCGCACAAGCGACACGGCAAACGCCGCCTGCCTATCAACCGTGATCTTCAAAAAGTTAAGGGGTGAGATGCAGGTTCAATTCCCACGTGAGGTTGAAGATTTGCATATTACTCAATATTCTTAGATTTAAGGTATTTGAGTTTTCAGCTAAATTGCTTGTTCTATGAACTCACTATATTCGTCTAGAGTGCTTCCGTTGTGATAATTCCACCATCATCACGGTCGGCTGGACGTAATGCTTAGTCTTGTAGTTCATCCAATTTACTTGGATTTTCTCTACGATAGCTTTCTTTGTATGATCCGCCTTCACATGTACTATGCGGATCCTAACGCTTCTTGAAATCGATTCGTTTCTTCGCTGGGTGATCCTCCGCAAAGATCTTCGAACATTTCGCATGTTGTCTTGGCTGCTGCCTGAGCATGTCGTTTCCGTTATGAACATCTTATAATCCTGGTAGAGGCGACTCGAATGTGTGATTTTGGGAATAGCCGAGCTGAAAGTGTCCCTACGTATATTTACGGGAGAGCTTCCGGAAAGGGGGTGGGGCTTTGCTTTCTGGTATCGTGCAGCACTATTCGTCTGCCTGAGCTCAGATGGATTTAGGGGATGGAGATGAGGTTGCCTTTCTTTCTGGTACCATGCTTCACTATCCACTGCGCTAACTCCACTCTTTATGACAAGTGGGTCTTATATAACTCATCTATCTCAATATTCCTACCTAAATACGGGCTCTTAATTGTACTCGTCTAATATTTTGATGCATACATTTCTGGATCTCCGTCATTCGGCGATTTCTGCGCGATTAGTTGCGAGGGCACGTGGTGTGTCCCTCCATGTGGTAGGTGGGTAAAGTAAACGCGATTTAAAAGCGGTCATAAGCTTCTGTGAAGGACTGATGGTTCCAGCTGATGGAGATTTCGTAAAGGTACAAGAGAGCATCTTGTTCCACCTCTTTCGAAGTGAAAATAAGTCTTTGGTTAAGCTAAAACAAGAGCAATCATGGAAGCTCTGGACAGCAGGGCATTCCTACTCAGTACAAAACGATTCATTGTGAGCTACATAGAGATTTCACAGTCAAAACATCACCATTCTACAATAATATTACAATCAACGTAAGGAGAGGAGTTCCACCAAACGAAACTATTTGGTCACATTCTAAACGCAACCCTTCAAAACATATGAAATAGAATTCCTCATTAAGGTCAAATGGAATACTTTTTATTTGACCGCTTCTAGCCGTGATATGTTGTTTCAAATATACCCACTGATGTAGAGTGATGTGCAAAACTTTCGCGTCAGCCGGGACTAGTACCCGCACCTCACTCTATCCGGGCGCGCGTGCACTATCTGTCACATTAGTGACGCCCATCTTGCACCACTCTTGAACCCAGTAACGCTGATTAGTATTGGGTATTGAAGATCAAGTGAGATTCTTTTTATTCGACTGCTTCGAGCGTTGGAATGATGTTTCAAATTAATGTGGTGAACAAATTGGCGTCAGTAGTGTAGCGGGTAGAGCACGCGCTCCCGCATAGAGTGACGTGCGGGTTTCAGTCCCGCCTGACGCGGAAGTTTTGCACATTGCTCTACATCAATGGGTATATGAAAATGGAAAAAAAAAACTTATCTTGATTAGCTGACGCGAGGTTGATAAAACAGTTGTAGAAATTCGGCTGACGTTTCGGCGACCCGCCTTCTTCAGAGCCTGGACGTATATAGTATTAGTCTCTAATACTAATACTATATAATACTATATACGTCCAGGCTCTGAAGAAGGCGGGTCGCCGAAACGTCAGCCGAATTTCTACAACTGTTTTATCAACCTCGCGTCAGCTAATCAAGATAAGTTTTTTTTTTCCATTTTCATATATCAATTGATTATGCCGAGGTTTATAGAAAGTCGAACTTTGATTGTTATGGTATTC